GAATTAATTTAAAAAAAAAATTTATTAAATTTGATTAAGTTTTTGTTAAGTTATCCTTGTTTAAAGTTTTTAAAAAATATTTGCTTGATTTCTATTGACTCAACCCCATATGTTTAAATCATGGACGTGTTTAGGAATAAATTGAAAACCAACACTCGAAAATCTGTAGGTATATCCTCTAATAGTAAAACCCCCTTTCCTTAGATTGCCTTTGTGAGGTCATCTAGACTACTTGTTTTGATGCGATGCAGTGAAAGGGTGTCATCGTTAGAAAACAGTATAAGGTGATTGTGGACGTTTCATATTGAAGGGTAAGTTGGATCCGTTGCCACAAAGAATACCTATTTTTGTGAGGTCAGCCTGGACTTACACATGTTGGCAAAATTATAAATTCTTAAAATCCCACCCAAATCCCAAATATAATAAAATTTTTCCAAATTCCATCCCAAATATAATAAAATTCGTCCCAAATCACAATTCCAAATCCCATCCCAATAGAATAAAATTCGGTCCAATCGCAAATTCCAAATCCCATCCAAAATAGAATAAAATTCGTCCCAAATCCCAATAGTTTTGCCAGAAGCATAGGTATAATTATACTACAAAGGCTGACTGCGGGTTAGTTACTCCGAAGATGTCTCGTCCATTTCCACAAAGGATACACGATCTGTGAAGTTTCTTCAAAGATCTACTGATTCCAAAGAGGAATCAATTATGCACCTTCTTATTATAAAGAAACCTACGTTTGTTATATTATTATTAATAAGATATTACTACTTAATAAATACTATTATTAATAATTTTTTTAATTTAGGTAAAAATAAGTAATGAAAACAATAAGGATTCCGACAACGATTCGGTAACAGAAAATAACTACTTTGTTTTACTCTTGTTTAAATAATATATTATTATATGGATATCTGGGTGTAACTAATTTCACACGGGTTTATATCCAAACCACATGGCCTTCGGCCACGTAGTTTAAATATAAACCCGTGTGTAATTAGTTACACCCAAATATAGATCAGCGTTCTTCGCGTTTTTAATTCCCTAAATTTCCAGGCCGGAATGCATCGGGCTAGGGTTAGGATTAGCTTTACTGGTTAGCAGAAGCTATGGTAAAATTATCAGTTGGGCAATCCGTTGGACAAAATTGATCAATTCCGGTCCATTCGACCAGGGTTAGTGATGCCTGACGAAACCGTGTAATGCTAAATGTTACATGGTACAATATATAAAAATCAACTATTTTTTATAAGTAATAGCACGTGATAATTAGCATCACATGGTTTCGTCAGGCATCACCAGTTCCGATGCATTCCGACCGGAATTTTGAGGATCTCCCTGTATGAGTTGACGGCTCATCATGAGGATAATAGTGATCAAGTACTTCTCAAATTCTGAGCAAGGTTGAGAAATTTTCGATGCAAAAATCCGGTTCAAGTATATATTAATATAGGCACAACATAAAATTATATAATTCTATAAATTCTGCTCTAAACAACCTACATAACTATTGACCTAAGTAGTAGCTCTAAATAAGAGTTACATCAACTTTATATATATAAGTGTTAACTTTAAAATCTTTAGGTTTTCCTTATGACCCATTAACCCGGGTCATGGCCTGGGTAATAGCTATATCAACGTGTTAGCATAAAGTAAAATCTATTTCCGGCAATTTTATATAGAGAACTATTGATCTGAAAATGCCATTTTCACTAAAAAAAATTTCGTTGCATCACTGTGATGTATCTCAAAATATCAACCTATATTGGTATTATAGCACGGCATAAACTATACTATTTATGTTTTTTATTTTTGAATCCTTTAACTCATGTAATGAGTATAAGTATGGATGACGTTTGTGCGTGTAATATACAATAAAATATAGTATAAATAATGTAATACGTACTCATGATATAGCAGATAATGGCCGTACTATTATTACGTAGTATTTTAATGTTTGCAGCATTAGTTAACGTTAGCGCGTTCAAATGAGTTTTATTTACTACATTAATTGTTTACGATGATGGTAATTCTGCGTAACACCAAAAATGTCAATGAAACTTCATGTTATACCAGATACGTTTATGGTATAGGCGTGAAACGATTCATTGAGAAGTTGCTAAACTTCAATATTTACTCGTGGTTAATAATAAAGAAATTACATCTCAAGATTCAATAATTAGAATAAATGGATTTTTGCACCCATTTTGATTCAAAATGATATAAAAATCATGATTTTGATCGCCGAATCTTAAGATATTGTGAATACGCCACAATACCTCTTTTGCCTTATCATTCCTATATTTCTGTATTTACAGGTTTCTGGTCCAATACGGAAAATTTCCAAGTTTAGTGTTTGATATCCTATACTAAATATATCAAAAACGGAACTTTTGTATAACATTGTCTCGATTATCAAATGGAGATAATCAAATTTACATTAATGGAATTACAATAAATGCAAAACGGGTTTTAATAACAATGTGCATTAAGCTTTATTAAGAATAAACCTATCGCTATGACTTTATTGCTGCATGCAATAGTTGATGAAAAAAAATCTCACATATCACATGATATTAATTATAAATTATCAAGATAGGGTTTATCTCCTCACTTAACAAATATGCATTTAGATAAATAGAGACGTTCGAACGCCATTGACTTGCTTGAAAATAATTTCGTGGCAAAATGTCAAGGGTTGTGTCAACGACTCCTGAACCAATAGAAGAACCCACTCATGTTACTTTTATTCTTCCTCCTAAACAACCTTCTTCGAGCAGAACCTCTTCTGTAGTATCGGTTACTTCTAACTTTGCCTTAAAGCAACCACGTTATCATGCACTATATCAACCCTCATGGCGTGAACAATTGGCTGTCGAGCTTGATAATTCAGAAATTGGCAGCATATGGAGGCTTGTGGACGCTTTCCTCAATATCTTACTTTGTCTGATTTATATTGCGCACACCGTGTACATGAAAGCTTCATTACCAACGTTTAACGTGTGTTTTGAAGTTGTGGTATCCATTCTACTGCTTATGGAATATATTCCAAAGTTTTATATATATGAATTCGAGTCATTGAGGTCTTTATTTACTAAAGTCTCGCCTATCCTCACAGCTTTGACCATTTATCCCGTGATTGCTATTGCAATGGACCCAGTTTTTGAAGAAACTCGTTATATTGTCTTTTTTTACCCTTTTCGTTTCATTCGATGTTATTTATCAGTGCGTGATTGTTTAGTAAGAAGTGAAAAATCTGTTTTAAAACTTGGTCAAGTCACCAGCAAAACTTTAATTTTTTTACAATCAATCTTGTTCCTTATTTTGACTGGATCCTCATTGTTACATGGCGTTGAATATGCCTATATGGTAAATTTTAGATTATTTGATTAATTAGATCTCTGAAAAATTACGTATAGAAATTTAAATCATTTCTTTGTAGGATGAAAATGTTACTTTCTTGGATGGTACTTGATCATTATAAATTATTGTCATTTTGGTTCTTGTTTTATTTCATTATGATATTAATATTGGTTATAAACAGCTGTTTTTTTCACAACTATTATGTTGGGTACTGTGGGATATCTAAGTGATATAGTGCCTGATAACGCTTTTCCAAGAATTCTTCTTTTGGTGATATTTACTACGGGTCTCATTTTCATTCCGGTAAGAGTTTATTATTAACATTAAGCAAAGTTGGCAATTTTGCTATCCATTAAGAAAAAAAATCAATGGAGGTCCGAAGGGACCTCAATGGATAAGTATCCATTGCGGTCCATTGTCAACTTTGTGTTTAGGATATATTTCTTTATGGTAATTATACTGATTATGCCACCTTAATTTTTTAGTATTCTATATCGGAATTGACCATGCTTATACGCTCAAAATCCGTTTATGACAAACCATTCCGTAAAATTTCACAGCAACCACATGTCATTATAATAGCACCAACTATAGAATTACCATCGTTAAGGCATTTTTTGAAAGAGTTTTATTCTTTGGCTCACGGCTCTGCGACTGTCAATACAAAAGTAAAGCATTATTAGGGTTTCACTTATTATTATTATTATTATTATTATTGCTATTAATTTATTTATTTGCTGTTTATGAAGGTTGTAATATTAAATCCTTTGGATCCAACCGACCGCGTCAAAACATTTTTATCGGATCCAGTCTTTGCACATCGTGTACAATATGTCCGTGGAAGTTCTCTTGATGCTCGTAACCTAGAAAAGGTTGATGCAAAAAATGCTTCCGCATATTTTATTTTGGCTAAAAAATATACTCAACAAAGTGAAATAATTGATGCAGAGAACGTGCTAAAAGCAATAGTAGATATAAAATTTTTTTGATTTTAAATCCGGTTCTAATAATATTTATATATAACATATTTTATATTTTCCTTATGTAGGCTTTAAGCAAATTTGATGAAGGACCAAAACTTTATATTCAATGTATTCTTCCAGAAAATAAAATTCATTTCGAAAGTTTAAGTAAGCTAAAATTTTTATATTATTGAAAGCGTTATTAATAGTTATTAATTAACTATTTGCTTATTTAGACCCAGACCAAATTATTTGTACTGATGAGTTGAAATTAGCCATTTTTGCTCACTCGTGTCTGACCCCTGGTTTTTCCACACTTTTATATGGACTTACTACATCGTTTACCTTTGAATCAGCACATGAGTTAAGACGTGGAACTAGGAAACGGCGACGCCCTTCTATTGGTTTGGATTGTGACGCTATCGAGGATTATATTACAGGATTTTCCCAGTCAATTTACACTACTACTCTATCCGATCATTTCTCTGGGCATAATTTCCTGTCAGTTGTTGGTGACGCTTCAAAATTTTATTTATTTATTCTTTTAGACTATTTATCATGTATTAATTTCATTTTATTTTGGATTACAGAACGTCTTTACGTTGATTTAGGTGTTGTGTTATTTGCGCTTGGAATTCCAAAAACACATTCTTTTGACACATCATCTACTCGTTGGATGTTTGATCATAAAGATGATTTTGACGTAAATGATCCTAAAAACTACACAGTATTAATTAATCCGGATGATCATATTTTAAATGGTGATGAAATTGGATTTGTCATTGCATTGGACGGTTCGCTTGCGGATGGTGCTGCTACTTATGAATGGCACGGTGGATATGGACAAAAAAATCATAAAGTAATACCTGTTCCTTCTGAACAACAACCACTACTGACAAAGGGTGCATTGAAAAATAACGGTGGAGGTGCTTATTCTGATAAGAAAAAAATTAATCAATCAACCGCATCTGACACGCAACACCATGAATATCCACATAAACCTGATTATTTTACGTTGAGGCGTCAGCGTGCATTTTCAACGCCTCTTGCATTTACGGAACATGAACTTCTACATGACTTTTCTTCATCTAATATTACCTTGTCTTCACGTGCTCATGATGTAGAAAGCATAAACTCAGTAATAGATACGATCACTGACCACATTCTTCTGTGTGATTACTCTCAGACGACTTTTCCACGTAATCTTGATTGTTTTGTCAGTCCATTGCGTAAACCTTATTTAGAGAAAATTATACCGATTGTGATTTTGTCACCTACAAGGCCAAGTCAAAGCCAATGGAAAATTTTGTGTCAATTTGATCAAGTCTACTTTGTGCAAGGAAATCCCATGATGCGAGAAGGTTTGGACTGTGGACGAGTGAGATTTGCAAAGCAAGCAGTTGTTTTAGCAGATTCTTCCAGATTGTTAAGGTATGTTCTTGTTATTTCATATTCTTGAACACGTTTTGCTTAATAATTTGGACGTTATTATTATAATTAATAGAAATGGGGAGAAGACTGAAGATGCATCAGCAATGCTAGTATTTTTAAACATTAAAGCAATGTGCAAAGAGAACATTGATGTGTTTGTGGAATTTGTCCACATGGATAATATGAAATTTATGTCTGAGGATGCTTCAGCTATCGATAAGAGTATGCAAGGTAAATATCTACGTTATTATTCAATATATTATACATAAAATAATAATTCTTTTAATCTTTTTATTCTTTAAGCCCATCATTCTCCAGCTTTTATGGCTGGAACTTGCTTTTCTTTATCAATGCTTGATAGTATTATTTGCCAATCATTTTATCAACCACACATTGTAACCATAATTGAGCAAATGCTTTTCGGTACGCCTCCGTTACATCTTCTTTCTGGTTCAACTTGTCCCGCACCATCACATTCCCATTTTTATCAAGTTCCAGTACAATTATTTGTTGGATGTCAATATGGGGAATTGTTTCGCTCTATGATAGATAAGAAAGTCGTACCACTAGGGTTGTATCGTACTAAAAAGGTTAAAACTGTAAATGGCAATGAAAAAGAGTTAAAATATGTATATACATGTCCTAAATCTAACGTTTTATTACGAAATGATGATAAGGTGTTTGTGTTGAGCAAAAGAGCGCCTACAGGGTTTTGATTAAATTTCTGATTTAGTATCGCCATAATTCGGAATTTTCGAAACTATGTAAATTGTGTATATAACAAATTTGACATTTTTAGATCGATTAATGAGTTTGTTTCATGGTAATATATTTATTATAATTTAATACTTGCCGATCTTCATATAGTGAAGTATCTAGACACTGTGATATCTCACAATATTATCATACTATATTCGATAAATAACTGGCAGTGACATGTGGATCACTATCCAAATTTTATATCAAGTGAGGAGTAGGTACCTTGATCTTCCAGATGTTTGTCTTATAACTAAAGTGATGCATGCCTTTTGTCAAAGTCTGTGCCGGATGCCACATTAGCACATCATAATATACTTATTATATATACTGTATATTTTAATATATAATTGTTTTTTTTTATTTGAGTAATGTAGCAAATTAGTAAAATTAAAATATATATTTACATAAACACAGTAATATAAAATTAATCCTTTAGATAGTATATAAACTGTATAAATACAAAAACATATATAACAATTTTCGCTGCCTAGCCTTAATAAATTTTAACATTAACTCGTATTTAAAAAGTAAACTAATATTAAGTTCATTGAATTATTGAGATAACCGTAAGACCCATTTGGACAAATTATTAGGCAGTAAAAAGAAGATATTGTTAATATGCATGATCTATATTTTGAAGTTATTTCGAGCTCACTGATCAAAAATAATATATTTTTTTTTAAAATCAATAAAAAAATTATACATTTAATACTGTAGTAACTTTCTTTCCTGCTCACCACAATATACTATATTAAATATTACTCTTTATAACAATGGTCGAGCACAAACATTAAACGTCAAAATATTTTATATTGAAATTTCTAAAAAATTAATTCTATGAAAAAAAAAAAGAAAATGAAATGAAACTTGCGCAGAAAACCTTGCAAGAGGAACAAAAAAAAAAAAAATCACATTATATGATTATGTTAGACATGTTAGACATGTTCGTCTGGTCAGTGATTAACTTGGAGTGTTATCACCGAGGAAAGGTGGATGTTGCACTTTAATATTGTAATAGAATATAGTTAGCATTAATGTTTAGAAGATGTAAAATAAAATAAAATAACGATAAAAAACCTGAATAAAATCCTGTCGCAGTATGTTGTTGTTGTTGAGAAAATATATCATTCGCATTAGTAACATCTTCTTCCTTTTCTTTCGCATTTGCAGAAGAACGTTCGATTTTAGTGGTCTAATAATAATAAGTCAACATTTATTTTATCAGTAGATTAGATCAAGAGACAAGAAACGACAACCCGTAACAGGTAAGTAAATGTATTTACTTCGCGATATTTTGCCAAATAAATTTTCAGGGCATCCGCATAATTTTCAAACCCTAATGATTGCATAGCCCATAAAATGTCTTCACCGTTGATCGTTTTTCTTTTCTCCTGTTGGCAGCGATCGCTCGCCGTACAAATCAATAGTTAAGAAAATAACAAAAACTATTCGAAATCGAACGAACATAGCTTAAATGGATCATTGCTTATAAACTTTATAAAAGGATATTCGCTCGTTATGAAAGAAATAAATTCTGAAACACATTCTTGCACGCATTCTTTTGCTTCTTTTGCGATTTTGGCATTATCTGGTAGTGCACGTTTCATTATCCGTGCGACATTTGCAATTGGAAGGAATCGATCTTGTTCTTTAAAATCCTCGACATCTTCGTCAGCGGATGGATGTGCACCTTCTGACATGGCGATCAATAAACGATCAAATGAAGTTTTTAGGTTTCAGGTAAAAAATTGGTTATCGTTATAATCCTATCACTGTTGTCTGATATAATATATTTGATGCTGGTCAAGTTATCGGAACTGTCTTATATGCACTACTGCACTATGTGAATCAAATTTATGTATGCCCTATATCGATATGAAAATCAATTAGAAAAGATTTTCGTGTAACATATATGCAGATCACTTTCTTATCGTTAAGATCGTTAAGAACCCCGAATAAAAAATTTTGCCTAAAAAGATTTTTTTTTTACAACTAGCTATGCTACTAGGGTTGGGGGCACAGGGGCATGGGCATGCCAAATCACATTACATAGGCAATTAAAATCATTGGCTAAAATTAAATACCATTTGACAAAATTATACAACTCTTCGTATAGTAAAGTCCTTGGGCTAATCTTCACTATAGCTAATATTGAGAGAATATATATAAACTTACTCTTGATATACAGTAGTAAACTCTTGTTCTAGTAAAGAGTTAATATAGTAAAATTTTTTTAAATCCTAGAATTATTTAACTTGATATATAAAATACATATTTGATATAATATTTTCTCTTTATAAACTATAGTGATGTTTTTTTAGCTTTGAACTTCACTTCACTGTATTGAAATGAAGTTTAGAATTTCTGAAATTCAAATTCTTCACTATATCAAATTTTACTATAACAAGAGTTTTTTTTAAAAAAAATTTTAAAGATGTAGTATCCATACTTAGACTTTATTTAATACTTAAATGATTAATATATGATAGTGTTTATATATATATATATTACATCAAGTATTAAGACTAGGACATCAGATATACAAACTATTTATCCACAGCTAAAACTCACCAAAGCTAATTATATTTTTGTTATACAGCTAACTTGAATTTGTATATCTCTTTCCAACTGCCAATTAGTATTCATATATCTGTCATATTACCCACATTATCTACTATTTCAACACCCAAATCAGTGTATGTTGCTCTAAATAGATGCTTATTGTTTCTGGCTAATAGAGAATTACTCTCTTAATTCTTACTTAGCGTATTTCTAGGAGTTTGTATCTCAAGCTATAAAGCTGTTTCTACCCAATTAGGTAAGTATTTTAAGCCTGCATGCTGCTATAACTAGCTAGTTTCCTATAACTTTAAGATCCAGGTCTTAACATATTAAATTTGGCAATTGTAATAACGACTATACTCCCCAATATGATAATAAGACACCCAGGTATAAATACTTCCAGTAGTTAGTATAGTTGGATAGTATTATTATTATTATTTTTTTTTTGATATTAAGGTGAGGCCTTGCTCGTATCTTTATTAATTAATTTATATAAGTAATTACATATCAACTACCGTAGTGTAGAGCTTGGAACCAGATATTTTTTTATCTGTACGGTTGTATCCTTTTTATAAAATTAATATCCGGATAATTACTAGTTTTTAATTCATGGATAACCAGATAATCAAACAGATAACCGGATAACCTTGCGGATTACTAAATAACCTTGCAGATAACCTGAAACCTATTATAGCTGTTTTCAAAAATTTGTGGAATTCCAGAGGTTTCAAGATCCACTCTAATTGGATTTTTTAATTTTTATTAAGCAGAATTTCCACATTTTTTGATTCCCCATATGGGTATATGGAAATCGGTTTCCACATTTTTTTGAAAACAGCTGTAAATAACCGGATATCCTAAGGATACTACAGGTAATCTTGTTAGTCGCGAACTTGATTTGCATTGATATTCATGGCATTATATTTCTCAAAATTTTATTTATATACATGGCATTATATTTTTTTACCTTATTTATTTATTTATTGTTTTTTTGATTCTTTTTCTGTTTGTGTTTTTACCGGCAGATAAGTAGTTACCGGTAGTTGGGTGATAATGGGTAGATAGTTGGGCAAATGGATATTTAGACGCTTTTACGGGTAGAAAGGAGGAACGAATAGATGTTTTCAGGGTAAGTTTCGTGGGTGCTTTTCACTTATCAAT